ACACACACACACACACACACACACACACACACACACACACACACACCTACCTGTGCTCAGATGTTTCTCCATCACATGTTGGTTTTTTTTCTCCAAACCGGAGCATCGTTAGCGTCTCCTGGCTGCTGATTTACCCAGAAGGTTTCGTTTCAAACAGGAAGTAAAAGGCGGAGCCTCCTGAACGCACACATGTTCACGTCCGAGTTTTAAGCTGAGGTTGTGTTACGTTAAGAAATGACGGCGACTCAGGTGTGTCAAACTCTTCTTTACCGAGGCATCRAGCCTGTAATTAACTTTAATGTTTCAATTTTAACTTCAACTAAAACATCAGGTTCCTGAACTCCATTAAACACTAACTGAGCTCTACCTGGTATTTCCTGCGGAGGAACAGTGTTTGAACTCGTCCTCTTGTAAAAAAAAAAAATACCACGTGTACAACTGACCAAATGTGAAATAAATAAAACAGAAAAACTATTAAAAGTCAAAGTTAGAGAGTTTTACTCACTCACGACTGATGCATTGTGGGAGATGTAGTTTATAGWCAACGCTGAATTTAAAGCAGCTTGTTTTAAAGTCACAAATTTTTTTTAGTAATTAATACTGTATGAACGCAATTTGGAAAAATAAAGCAAAAAAAATCACATCACTGAAATAAAGAGCGGTTGAAATATTTGCATGTGAAGTAACAGGAAGTGATGTCATAGGGGAGTGTCTAAATGCAACCGGATCGTTCTACAGACTGTAGAGAACAATCTGTTTCTTTAGATTATTTTCAGTCACTATTAAAAGAGAAGAAACAACTAATATTGTTTCAATGAACAAAGACCAGAGAGTTCCCCGTGATGTCACTTCCTGTTTCACTTTGGTTGAGCCAAGTTCAAAGGAAAATATGGCAGTTATGTGATAAAATGAGTAAAATAATGTGTATTATGCCAAGTTTTTTAAATATTAAGATGTTTTATTTGATCTTTTCTATACAAAGTATATGCACATCACCACTTTAAAACATTAAAGTGCCTGTGACATCAAATTTTTGTAATAAACATTAATGCATTTTTGGAAAGATAACATTTATAAAATATTGCGAAACAAATTTCACGTTGCTGAAATGAATGGTTGTTGAAATATCTGCATGTGAAGAAACAGGAAGTGATGTCATAGGGGAATGTCTGCAGGTAAACAGAGCGTTGTTACAAAAGCTAACAACACAGACTGTAGAGAAGAATCTGATGTTTCTTTAGATTATTTTGAGTCTCTATCAAAGACAGATGAAAAAGAGTTAATGTTTAAATAATTTTGTTTTAATAAACTAAGACCAGCTTGTTTATTTTACTAGTGAGTTCCCCTTTGATGTCACTTCCTGTTTCACTTTGGATGAGCCAAATTCAAAAGAAAATAGGCCAGTTAAGTGACAAAACACGTAAAATCATATGCATTAAGGCAATTTCGTTAAATATAAAGATGCTTTCTTTGACTTTTTGTATTTAAAGGATAGGCATGTCACAGGCTCTTTAATACATATTTGAAGCTCTTGCGGGCCACGTAAAATCCCATGACCGGCCTCGTTTGGCCCGCGTACCTTGAGTTTGACACGTTGTCTTTTGATATGGTTGACCAGGAACATCTACTGTTTGTTAAATAAATAAACTTTTACTGATGGTTTCCAGTTTGATGGGTTTCTCGTTTTTCATTTTTATTTCTGTATTTTTTATTTTTGTATATTTATATTTTATTATGAGTAAAGTTTGTTTTGCTGCCACCGTTGTTTTTAATCTACTTTGTTAAATGAAGGTTTAAATAAATAAATAAAAATGTGTGTTAGGGATGACTCTCAGCTACTACCAAGTTTTAGCTCATCATTTGTCAAACTGTTTTAGTGTTGGCTGAGGTTGATCAACTGCGGTGGCCATCTTGAATCACGTCAAAGCCAAATGCAGTCGTTAATCCAGGGACGTTTCATTAACATGTATCCAGTGGTTTATAAGATATTTTGCTGACAGACACTCTTCAGCTGTGAAATAATAACTACTGTTAGTTTTATTCTGAAGGGCTAATAACAGGAAGTGATTTGTTACCATGTTGGTTTCCTGTTTGGTCTCGTTCTTTCCCTGCATGCTTYGGTCACCTTCAGTCCTGATGAAGGTTTCTCCTTCGGCTGATCTGAAAAAAAAAAACAGCTAAATATTTAGACTCTGACGTGACGCCGGCGCTTTCAGACTTTAAGTCCTGCAGATTCTACCTTCCGAGGAGGTTCTGGGTGAAACGGGTCAGTTTCCGAGTCTCTTCCTGGTACCGGAGCAGGTCCTGGGTCAGCAGGTTTCGGAGCGCGCTCAGTGCCTGCTCCTGGAACACCAACTTCTCTGATTGGACCAAACGCTCGGTGATGAAAACCTGAAGCTCCCGGACAGCGCACAGCCGAAGCTACCAGGTGGAGACAGAGGTAATGAGCCGAAAACGATCCGGTTCTGTTTAAACTTAGAAGAACTGGAGAAACCGAGCCGTAAAGCTGAAAGAGGCAGAGCTAAAAGCTTAACGGAGCAAAACACTAGCTAAAAACAGGTAAAAGTAGCTAAAAACTTTGTTTTGTTTTGGTTAAAAACCACTCAGCTCAGAGGAATTCATCAGTAGAACCTTGTGAACTCTCAGCTCCAACGAGAGAAAAAGCTGAAAAGATTTCGGCTGATAAATCAACATGTTTCTACTCACTGTGGACGTCTGAAGGCCGGAGCTTCTCTTCAGCTCTTCTTCGATTTGTTTCTTCTTCTTCTGAAAATCTGAAAGGTCAAAGGTCAGCTGCTGCCGGCGGCCTTCGATCTCACCGAGTCTGAAAACAAAAAAAACAAAGAGTTAGCATGAAGCAAAAACACCTGAAGTCTAAAAACAAACAATCTTATTTCAGCTGTTTATTCAACAGCAAACAAGCTAAAAGTTCAGTGATTCATTATTTTTATCATCATTATTGGATGAAAGAGGAAAAGTCTTCATTATCTGCTAAAAAAGCTCAAATTAAAGCATTCACGCTAAAATATGCACAATGCTTTCTAAAAGCTAACAGTAACAAAATGCTACTTAAAAGTTGTAAGTAGCAACATGCTAGCTAAAACAGGCACAGGAGAAGCTGTTAACCAAGCATTTTAGCTAAAAGCTAGATGTAGAAAAAAGACTAATGGATTAAAGTAGTAGTTGCTATCTAAACTAATCAGATTGTTAGCTAATAGCTAAAAGTGTGATCTTGTTAGCTTAAAAACTAAAGCAGCAAAATGTAACCGAAAGTAGTAAAAGTTTAGCTAAAAGTAGCAAACTACAAGCTGAAAGAGCTGGAGTGTTAGCTAATAGCTAAAAGTAGCATAAAAGACTATAAGCTGCTAAAGGTTAGCTGAAAGCTGAAATGTGCAAAACACTAGCTAATAGCCAAAAGTTGTAAAAGCTTAGCTAAGAGTAGCAAACTACAAGCTGAAAGAGATGAAGTGCTAGCTAATAGCTAAAAGTAGCATGTTAGCAAAAGACCATAAGCAGCAAAAGGTTAGCTTATGGCTGAATGCAGCAAAAATGCTAGCTAGAAGCCTTAAGCAGCCACAGAAAACAAGCAGTGAGCTGCTGAAAAGATTTTGAAGAAAACAAAGTTTGTTTTTATTAGAAAATATTTGTTAATAAAGTTTAACATTTAGAAAAACATTAAAGTTACATAAAACAAAAGCCACAGCAGCCATCTGCTGAAAGAGCCGAAGGTTTTGGTTATGAACAGCYGAAACAGCCAAAGGTCTGCAGCAATAAAAACCCATCAGAGTGACCCATCTCAACAATAAAATATCTTTTCTGTAAACAGCTGAAGCTGCTGCTTACCTATCACCTGAGCTGAAAATCACTGAACCTCTACACCAGATCTCAGGTCCAGCTGCAGGTTCTACAGACCCACTTCCTGTTCAACAGAACCGCTCCGCTTTGAAACAAACTGAAGTTTTCAGAGAAAAGTTGACTCGTAAACATCAGAGGTTTGAGTCACACCAGTCAGCTCAGRTTAAATCCATCCAGGAYGCTGTGAGATATTTTGCTAACAAACAGACAAACCATGAAATAAAAATTCTTATCCTAAAGGATTTTTAATCTTGGGCAAAAACGTCAACAAAACCCAGAAAAAATACAAACAAAATATATGTTTAATAAAAGAAAAAAGGTGTAAAAGCTGCATCTGTGCAGGAATAAAAAGAAGTAAAGCTTCACAGCAACAGAGATATAAAAATATAACGTAGTACAATATTTTTGTTGGAGTATTGTTTTCTGTTAATCTGTAATTCTCTGTCTGACCACCAGGAGGCGCTGCACTTCTGTCAGAGGAGCTGAGGAGGAGCAAAACAAGTGTTTTGTTTGTGAGGACGAAGATGAAGAGGGGCCTCATCTGAACTAGCTTTGATGAAATCAGATTATTCTCACCGAGTGAGGAGAGCAGCAAAAAGCACAAAAGGCTCTGAGAGAAAAATAAATCAATATTGACTTAATGAGTTCATCAAAGCTGAGGGCAGAAATCTGAGGAGAAACTTTAAATCTAACAGCTGCTTCACACCTGTCTCATGTTTAAAATTTATATTTTATTCATCAGAAACATCTTCAAGATCTGTTTTAGGTTGAAAACACAAATATTTGGGTTTAAATTCATCACTTATTTTTATACAGGAAAAAAGACAAAAAATATTTTTGTCTCAGGAGTTTATGGAAAATTTTCAGTTGTCAGTATTTTTACTTAATTTCTAGAAAAACATTTCTGTATCAAAACCTCCTGAAGTTAAAGTTATCACAGGAAAAAAAAAACAGAAAAGAAGCTTGTTAAAGAAGACTTATTCATGTTCTGTTTATAATTTACAGTTACTACGATCCTAAACCTTCAGTTGTTTAAGTCATCCTAAAGGTAATAATGTTATGTTTTTGCAAACCGGTCCTGTTCCTAAACCCAACCAAGTTATTGATCCTGTTCCTAAACCCAACCCAGTTATTGTTCCTGTTCCTAAACCCAACCAAGTTATTGATCCTGTTCCTAAACCCAACCCAGTTATTGGTCCTGTTCCTAAACCCAACCCAGTTATTGGTCCTGTTCCTAAACCCAACCCAGTTATTGGTCCTGTTCCTAAACCCAACCCAGTTATT